CCCCCGGCCCCCCCCCCCCCCGCGCCGGCGGACCTGCCAGTCGCGGCGCAGCACCTCGGCAATGGCACGCCGCTCCTCCTCCGTCAGGAAGCTCAGGTCCAGCAGCGCCTCGGCCCCCACCTCCAGCGCCATGGCGGGGCAGGGGGGCACGGTGGGGGCACCCCGGGGCGCTGGCCCAGGCGGGTGCTGAGAAGCGGGGGGCTGCGGTGGCAGGGGCTCAGCGTGCCGGGCATGCACCAGCGATACCAGCATCTGGAGAGGGACTGCAGGGCCACTTTGGGGTGGGAATCATCCTGACCCTCTGCAAAGAGATGGAGTGGAAGCTCAGCATGCACTCCCCCCATTGCACCCCAAATACCCCCAGGGCCCCTAACAGGGACAAACCGAGGGGTGGGATGATGCCGAGGGCACCAAGGGAAGGAGCACAGGCAATGCCACAGGCAGGCTGCAGGCAGGCTCCGGCAGCCCCTGCCGCTCCTCCTGCTGCCAGGCCCCACTGCCGGCCCCGTGCCAGGGCCAGCCCTGCCCACTGCTGGGATTCTGCCCGCAGCCCGTGTTTGCAAAGGGTGTTTGCAAAGGCCGGCTCTGCCCCTGCCTGCTGTCCCACAGGTTCTGTTGGGTGCCACGGCACTGAGATAGGTGGCAAAAGGGGGCTTGGCTGCCTCCATGATGGGCTGAGACCGAACGAGGCTGAGACCGTACTCAGCTCATGACAGCTCCCAGGGTGGTGGCTGCGGCAGGGGCTTTTGCCCCACTGCCTGGCGTTGCCTCACCACTGCCCTTCCTGGCCCTGGTGTTGGGAAAGCGCTGCCCGGCACGGGATGCCAAGGGCAGGAAATTGCAGCAGCAATGGGGCAGGCTCAGCCCTGCCGCCCCCGGCCCCCTGCCACCCCGGGCGCCCCGCTGGGATGTGAGCACCGGCACGGCTGCTCCCTGGCACAGCTGTGGGGCTCCCACCTCCACCCTGGGACTCGGACACCAGTGGCCCTGTCCCCAGCCCGAAGGTGACTTTGTCCCAGCCCTGGGGGGTCTCAGACATTCCTCAGTGCTAGGGACCCCAGCGCAGGATCTGAGCACACCAGTGCCGGTGGGCGGGCTGGGTGCCAACCCTACCACGGACACCACCCTGCCCAAGCCAGCACCAGGGACCCCCCACCCCACCCGGACCC